TAAGTATTTGAGCATTTCTTATGTAATATTGATGTTCAAAGATGTATTTATTTATCTTATGATATTTTCCTTAAGGATTAGGAATGTATGGTTAATTGGTGTAATTGAATAGCTAGAAACCTTTTATGACAAATTCATGGATGAATTTTATGATTTAAGCTTATAGATAGCTAGGTTGATGCATAAAGTATATATAAATGTCAATTAGGTTCGTTTAAGAGTTTATTTGGCAAAGAGGGGTCAATTTTGGACCTTAACCCGAAGCTCGATCTGTCATTTTTTCCATTGTCATGAAATATCCTAATATTACATATCCAATATCCAGATATCAATATCCGAATATTCACTCGATAAATATACGGTTATCTGGGCAAGACAGAGAACCTAGCGTAGTAAAATGGGAATATCTTGAGATATAGAGCTCTAAATTGAGTGAAGTTTGAACCTATGTGAAAATAACACAAATACCTACAACTACAAAATCTTAGGACCATTGGATATATGAATCATTCTAAGTTTAACTTTTAAGTCGTTGTTCTATAAGAATTTTGTTCTACATTTATGCTTTTTTTGGCCAAATTTTGTGAAGTTTTCTGTGGTTCATTGTGAAACAATGACGTGGTGAAGATTTTCCAGTTCATCATTGTGTTCATGTAATTTTAACCTGTATCCTTTATCTTATGATGGTAAGAAGCCTTTATCTAAATGGAGGAAACTTGAGCCAACATTCATGATAATATTTGGTCTACCAAACAACTTTTTACTTGCATTCATGAGAACTTCACTTTTCCATCATATTCATGGGAATCATAATTCCCGGGAACAAAAATATTTTCTCCCCTACCAAATGCCCCCAAGAGTATTTGTGATAATTATTAGTATAGTTTCCACTTTATTAATTTATTTTGCTGCGCTTAATACCATAAGTAATGATAATACACTGACAGCTGACGGGGTGTTACATGGGTACTCTATCACCTAATCCTAAACAATTTAGCTCATACTTGAAAATAAAGAAAAAACAAAGAAAGATAAAGACTCCATAAAATTAAGATAAGGTAAACAGAAGCAATGTTGTAGCTATACTCTTGCAACAACTCCTTGTGCAAGCACGTGCCACCATCTCTCAGCCACCATAGTGCAGGGATCAACTGGACCCAATTATCTCTCTATTGGACCTTAGTTATCCCTAACCTAGTCACTATATGCACTCGACCTCCCCCACGTACCACCTCTCTAGATGCCGGCTTATCATGATCCCCTCCACACGTGAACTGTGTGAAACCAAGGCATAAAGGAGGATTTTCGCTGCTCTCTTGTATAAAGACCTTTTTGACAGAGTGATGGGACAAAAATGCGTTTCCATCTAAGCCTATTTTGATGGTAAAATTCCATCTGTTCCTTCATATGGTGACCAATTTTTGCCTCAAGAGCACATTTCTAGAACTTAGGAACAAAAGCACCAGAAGGGAACATATAATGATGTAATCAGTTGAGAATGCAAGAAAAAGGGATCAGATTGACTCATTAATATACTTGCTCCACTAACTCACCCTCTTCGACCACTTTGCAGGAAATGTTGAAAAGAAGCTTCCAAAAAGTAGAAAGAGGTACAACAATCAAGCAGGAAGAAACGTGTATAGCAGAGAATAAAGAGTTACCATTGGGTGAAAGGAAAAACAAGCATGGAAAATGCAGAAGAAAAGGCAAATCTCAACAATAAGTGTCCCATCCAGCAACTTGCTTCATAAAAGAGCACTGTTCACACCGCCTCCTCATGCATTCGAGAAACAACTCAAGTGAAATTACAAGTTTTGCCATCCACTATTCTGGCCTATAAATAAGACGTTCCAACACGAAGAAAGCATGGAATTCCTTAAGAAGAGATCATTTAGGATAGTTTCAAGTTTCTACTTTTCAGTTGTATAGTTTTTAACAATAGTTAAGTGACGACAACCTTTCCTCCATTCTATATCTTCCATTTGAGACTCCTTACGAGCAACAACCATATTTCTCCATTTTCTTTTTCTTGTACCCTAAACTTGTTTCTTATTAATATATGTTGTTATTTCTCTTCTCTTTCAGTCGTTATCTCTGAACTGAATCTCGGGTCTATGGGATTTCAGTTTGGAATAATTGTGTTTATAGTTGTAGCCATGTGCTAAGTTATTTGTGGAACGAAGAAGCTATGAAATTCTTAAAGAACTATACCCAAAACTTTTGCACTGAAGCTTTTGCATTTCTGTGATTTAAGTGGGCTTTATTCTATGTGTATCAATGGAAATTGAACTCAAACTGAGAAAGGAACTTCCATAAGGAAGGAATTTCAGACAACTTAATCTCAGGAGGAAGGTAGTGTTGTGAAAGCAACATTACTGGTTGCCTTATGAATAAGGAACCACCTCATTCACTGAAGGTTCTGAACTTAGTAACTGTTGGAGTCAATGGAAGCATAAGAATATGGAAACTTGTGAGCCATTAAAGTCCATGAGCTGAGGAATCAGAGTTGGCAGTGAAAAGACCTGAACAAATTCAGAAGGGTTAAGTCTTGAGTTGAGAATATAGCTATTTAAGAATGGAATAGTGGATTTGTTCCTTGTGTTAAAAACTGTTTTTATCCATCCATCTTGTTGTCTCTTAAATATTGTTATCTTGTAGTTATTGTCTTTCATAATTCTTGTGACTATATAATCCAAACTCCAATGAATTTGGTCATTCCTTCTCACATCAAGAAGGATTTGGTATATAACGACACAATGAGTTATTTGGAGTCAACCTGAACCTACTGTCTTTGAGGAAAGTTTTTCAAGGTTGTAGGGAACAAATGACCAAACAGTTCAAATACTGTATTTTCTTTTCTTAATAATTCTTTGTAAAACACTTTAAGGTGTTATTTAGAGTTCTATCCTCGTGGAAACGATAATCTGGACATTAATAATCTCATTTATTACTTGATGCGTGCACTTGTGCGACTGGGTTGATATTAAGAGAACGAATGCATTTTCTCTTGATGAACTAAGTAAAGGGAACATCCTTAAAAGAATATATAAGCACCCAACACAGAGCTACATTTAATATCATGTGTGCCACTACAACTTTGTTGTTTAGAGGATCTCCCACAACCATCACTACCACTTGAGCCCTAATTGAAGTGCCTCTTAGGGGGATCTTTCTTTTCTTAAAACCCAATATTTGACACTGACATATATCCTCTCTACCCACTCCTCTTCACTATCACTAATGTCATCGTCGCCTATTGTGAGAGGTGACACCTATGACCACCCAATCTATGGCAAAGCAGTAGAGGAGAAAAAAGGGGGGAAATGATGCTTGGGGTATTGAGGAGGTGTATGAACCCAAATATTGAGTAACAACAATGAAAGAAAAACACTCCTGCAACCTTACTCGCAAAAAGGACAAAAAAGACACCAATAAATCCCATGCAAACAAAGAACTTTTTGAAAGCAAGCAAGGAACAAATAGGAAAATAACATTTTGGAAATGTTTTTGGAGTTTCTGAGAATGCTAAAGGAGGAAACACTATAAATGTTAGGGGCAAGGAAAAGAAATAAAGAAGGAGATGAAGCATGATTCCCAAGGATAAATGTTCGAAAAGCCCTAGGCTTCTGGGGTAAAAGTAATTTTTTTCACAAGAATAAAAAGTGCAACTTCATAAGGGAGAAAGAAAGGATGCAAACATCACCGTTAAAAGCCATCATGAGGCACATAATGTGAAGACTGTCCCGTGATCTCCAACACACATGCGACCAATAAGGAGATGCCATGTGTAAAGGTATAATCGTCAAGACAAATGCAAAAAAAAAACAACAATCAACAGAGATGTCGACCTCAATGAATCTAGAAGGAACCAATAGTTTGCCACAACGCCAAGATCCATGGTATGCTCATACTAACCGGATCACAAGGTAACCTTTAGAAATATAACAACTTGTTCGATATCAGGAAGTGTAAGGCAACATGTAATACACCTGAAATTCCCTCAAAAGACTGAACTCATCCGTGGATGTTATAGCTCGTCCAATAGCACAACTCGACACAACAATTAACTTACCAACATCTACAACCTCGAGCAACTCAGCCCCTAAAAGTTAGAGAGTCTGTCGCAACCACTCGACAGTCCGAACTCTCAAACTATCGAATTGAGAGCTAATGTTTTGGACCCACTTAATGGGTCCTACATGCTCTAAGAGATATTGGGCTTTATCCACTAAAGGTAAATCCTCTCTATAAATGAAAGGTTAAATCCCACATGTATACATTTATGAAACCCTAGCATCCCTTACTGATAATGTGCACACACACCATTTCCATTGGCTTTAACCCTCTTCTCTGTGTACAATGAGCTTGTAATTATCTCTTTATATGGACAATTGGTCCTTAGATCCTATATCAAATACGATTCCTCTTGAATCTAATAATAATACATTCTCTGATAATATTTTTTATAAGGGAATAAGTTTCTTCTACAACAAGATGTAAAGTTATCTCAGATAACAACAGATAAAACTACATGATATTTGAGAAAAATTAATGCAAGATATTTTAGTAAAATACATGATATAAGTGGATATAAAATTTTCAAAATACTCTATTTTTTTTCCTAATCCCAAAACGAGTTTATTCTGAAATTGTTGAAAATAAATTTATCTCCTGTTATTGAAAAAGATTTTTTTCCCTTTTTATAAATAGTTTTCTACAAAAATCAAAAGTTAAACATATAAAATCTTATCAAAATGGATCACATTCTTTCTCTTGATGTTAAAATTTAGTTAAATACTAAGCTACAAAGTATTATACGCTAGGCCAAAATCAACTTTTCGAATTTGATCCCCGTGCATTTCACCCGAAACCAAAGCAACTAAAGCAATTTTCGGAAAAAAAAAAAAAAAAGCAACTAAAGCAAGGCACGGTATGAAATAGAATAGATAAGAATAAGATACTAAAGTGGCAAAAATAGATAAAATCCAAATCCAAAAGTGTGCAGAGCACGACAAGTCGACAACTGAGGAAGAGTAACGTGTTGGGTTCAGCAGTTGCTTGTCAATACTCACACGACCGTTTTATTTACTTCTCTTCTTCAGGACTTGAAACGGTTATTCTCATTCTCATTCTACAATCCTTTTTTCTCCTTATGCTTCTTCACATACAGAAATTTTCTTCCCTTTTGTTTCTTCTTGGGTAGCACGGCGTCGTTTCATTCTTGGCCATGTCTTACGACTACCTCTTCAAGTACATCATCATCGGCGACACAGGTTCTCCTAGTCCTACTCTTTCCTCTTCGAAACCCTTCGCTTCCGATATCAACTCGAATATTGGGTTTTGTTTCGGTGCGTGCAGGTGTAGGGAAATCTTGCCTGCTCCTGCAATTCACAGACAAGAGGTTCCAACCCGTCCACGATCTCACCATTGGCGTCGAGTTCGGCGCTCGTATGGTCACCATCGATTCTCGACCCATCAAGCTTCAGATATGGGATACCGTCAGTTCTCGCTTCTCTCTCTATTTTTTTATTGTTTTTATTTTCTATTACTTGATTGCGCTATTTTTTCTATTCGCTTCTTTAGGTATTTCAAATTCGGTGAGAATTGATGAAAAGTGTGTTTCTGAAGTATACTAGAATGAACTATTTGTTTTGTAATTTCATGGTTTTGAATATGAGAAATTATATTTTTATGTTGTATGAGTTCATCTATCATCTTAGACTCACATAAGAAGATACGCCTATTGGTGGCCCCATTTTATTTTTCTCAGATGATAAGATAACTTATTTCCTACAGTAGATAAATAAAGCAGTTTGAATATAAGAAACGAAAAGCCACAAATGCTTAAACTATTTTCATAATCTTATTTTTTTTCTTTTATTTATTTGTTCTTCTGTTTATACTCTTTTTTTTTTTTTTTTTTTTTTTTCTGTTTTTATATATATATATATATATATGTATATATATATATATCATTTCAAAAGAGTTGAGACCCGCACTTTTTTTTTGTCAATTCTCTCTCTCTGCCTTTATTTATCTCTTTCTCTTTCTTAAAATGACGCAACTTTACATCCTTTGAAATAACACACACTTTACCCTATATATATATATATATATATATATGAGGAGGGATATTCTCACTACCAAAATCTTTTACTACCAACTTACTACCTATCTAATCTCCATTAGATTAACATTTTCTCTCTCTTAAATTTTTTTTTAACATTCTCTCTTTGATCCAATGGTGATGTGATGGCTAGTAAGTTAGCAGTGAGAATTTTTAGTAGTTAGAATATTCTCACTTTATATATATATATATATGGGACAAAATTTTTTGATACTGTCTCAATCAGATTATAACTGTTTTGAGATATGATATATAATACTTTATATATATATATAATAAGTATGACACAATAAATTATATATATAATAAGTATGACACAATAAATTATAACTGTTTTGAGATATGATATCAAACTCGAAGTCAAAGAATTCTGCAATATAAACAAGAAGGTTATCAAATTTGTGATTTATGACAACTTATGAATCTTATAAAAATACAAGTGATGGTTATCCACCCAAAAAAAATAAAAATAAAAATACAAGTGATGGTTAAATTAGAAGGGGAAAAAGAAATCATAGACAAAATGCATATTAGAATGCTGAAAACCAGTTGTACTTCGATTACGAAATTGTTACTATTTTATAAAAGGTTCACCGTAGAGGAGTCTTTTCCTTTACCATTTACAAAGATAGGGAAGTGCAATGGCATTGAACTTTTTTCTTTGGAGTCACTCGGCGGGCTTTGTTTTGTTATTTTCATAATTTTAAAATCTTCTACCTTGTTGTATTTAAGTAAGTCTCTGCTCAGTAGCTGTTAATTTTAGTGCTCTGCTAGATAATGTCATGTGTAGTCTAAGTTCTTATGCTTTGTTCAGATCACGAGAACTTATTAGTACCAGTAAAGATTGTCATTGACAACCTCAATTTAATGTATTAAAACATGTGAACAAACACATGTTGCTCGCCTTTATAATATTTGTTCAAGCAGGCATCACATAACGTATTACTTGTGCCCCACGTTACTTAGAAAAAGTATATCTGTTCTCTATTCGTGATACTGCTATGTGTGATGTGTGTCGTGTGTGCTGCTTGTTCAGAATTTCTTCCCCTTCTATTTTTACATCATTCTGCTGCTGTTTCTTTATGCAATTTTTTGTTTGGCCTTTTTGGTGAATGTTGGGTATGCTATGCCCTAGGTCATTAGACCAATTTTTTATGATTAACTACTTATACAGTTTTGTTAGAAGTAAAAGAGGCTAGTTTTTTGTGGCATTGTGCAATCTGTGCCACGGTGTGATGCATTTTTGGTTGGAGCTCAACTCTTGTATCTTTAATGAATTCCCTTCGGTAAAATATCTGATATGGCATTTAAGATTAGGCATTTGACTTGTATTTGGTGTCAAGCTGATGGGTTTTTTAAGGGGGTTTCCCTAAATAATATGCTGACAGATTGGGTAGCTTTGCTCCTTTCCTTTCTATTTTGTATTTTGTATTTTCCTTTTACTTTAAGGAAGATCCCTCATTCTTTAAATTATTTGTAATTATCTTCTCTTCTTAATGAAATTCTCATTTTTTACAATCATCGAAAAACTGACAACAGCCTTGAAACAGAAAATAGAAATAAGAAAGAACAAACCAGAGGACTGCCAGAAGTGCCTCTCACCCCCTAATTTCTCAAATTACTCAATACATGCATACCACACTCCACAAATTCCCCCTCCTTTTATCCCATCCTCAAAGAATATTCTGGAAGAATCTCTTAACTAACTCTCTTCCTTAACCACCCCCAATTCTGTTATTACATACTTCTGGTGCTCATCAAAGACCAAACCGTCTTTATACTGCTTAGTGAGTATAGAATTCTTTTAATCATATGTTTTGTCCAAGTCTCTCCAGTTATAGTTTTCCACACTACATAAATAGTGATGCAGAATTCATTGTTTAACTGTAGGCCGGACAAGAATCTTTTAGATCCATCACACGATCTTACTATAGAGGAGCAGCAGGAGCACTTCTGGTTTATGACATTGCAAGGTGGGTTTTACAAATGTCACTTTAGGGAGGGCATGGTCTGCTTGTAAAAGAATAACAATTGATGCCAAACTTTATATTATCCTTCTACGTGCACCTACAGCTGATTGAAGCTTCATTTTTTTCTTCCCTTTTGTTATTGTTTGTCTTATTTGGAAATTTTATCTCTTTGGCATTAGGAGTCTAGAACTGATAGAATACCTAGAAAATATCTCATAGTATCTTTATTGTATATTAGAATATTTTAGAATATCTTGGTTGATGGGAGTGATTTCCATATTTCATTATATTTCTTGATTTGTTTTCTTATTTGATTAGGATTAGGAGTGTAATACTAGTATAAGTAGGGGTTAATGTTTTGTACTTTGTATCACATCTTAATACACCATATCAATTTAACATCCTATTATTCAAAGTCTCTATTCTCTCTTTTCCTCCTTCCCTACCTAAATCTTACAATTCAACATGCTTTAGAGCGATACCATCTTCTGCGATATATCGCTATTCCTCCGTTGAGTTTCTTAGAATTTGGAATTCTTTTGTCTGGTATAGTCGGTTTCTCCTTGTTTTAATTTTCAATGACTGTCTTTCACCTTCCATTTTCCTTGACAAATTCTTCCACCTTTTCTTTCAGTTGTTCGTAGCGGTCATTGGTGTTTTGCCTTCTTTAGTAGGTTTTTCACCCTCACCGCCATTGCCTTCAGCTCCGACGTTTCCATACGGCTCAAGGCCTTCATTTTATTCCCATTAAGGCTTCCAGAACGCTGCCTCAAGCTCCTAACATTGTCAACCTTCTTGTCCATTTGACTTGTCATCTCCTCTTTCCAAATCTGGTCTCACCTTGTCCAATCGGTCACCCTTTCTCCGGTGGCCATCTCTCCTTTTGCAGCTGATGTCTCAGATCTGCATGTCTTGTTTTTTTAAGCTTGTGTGGCTAATGGCACCAATTATCCCTTTAAAAATATAATAACAAGAATTCCCAATGTCCAGAATATCAGAACAGCAATTGAAATGAACAACACGAAACAATCACTTATATTGAGTTTAAAGTGGGAATAATTCCCTTACAATACTGATAGAAAATAACAAGGACAATTCCCTTACAATCGGACCATTAGGACACTGTCCTTTACATTTAAAGAGACACACTTACTACCAATTACCCAGAAATACTAAACTCCTAAAAATCCCTTACAGACTCCATGGATTCACTACCCATGCTCATCTGTTTGGGAAGATACCAGTCCCTTCCACACTGAACCCCACGTTCAGGTGCAGCCCTCTACTAACAACTCTCCATGCATGCCTCCTTTCACCTCTAACTGTCTCTTTATTCGTCATTCACCACAGCTCCCTTGCCCATTTCACTTTCTCCATTCACAGCGTTCCACGTGGCCTCCTTTGTAACTGATTTTTGTTTGTTTTTTTCTTCATTCATCTCACTGCTTCCTCCTTCATTTGGGCTCGTCTTATCAGCTTGGGCTACGTTGATTTCTCCCTCCTGTTGGGCCTTCCTGCGTTTGTAACATTTATTAAAAGGTTCCAGGGGCCCATCAGTAGCTGTGCGTGAAGCCCTCTTTCCAGCCAATTTCACCGTCATTTGCCATGCCACACCATCCCAGTCCCCATTGCCTTTGTTCATTACCTTCACGTGGTTGATTGGCTCCATTATGCTGCTTTCTGCCATGTTTGACACTCATATGGTGTCCCCCTCCTACTACATCATACTTGTTTGGTCTGTACTTGTATGGATTTTTTGTATTTTGGCTTCCAATATATAATGTTAATTTTTCTTCTCTGGATTTGACACCAGCGTCTGCTTCTATTTTCATACTTGTTTGGTGATCCAAACCAGCCAGTGTTTGTCACGTTCTCTTTTTACCAACGATCATTGAAATGGTGACGTCTTTCCCACAGATGAATCATAGTAGTTATAACTTCTCTTCCTATCAATGGTCATTCTAATGGTGACTTATATAGCTATAACTTCTCTTCTCTTCCAAGTTTCTTAGGTCACCTAATTTTTTTGGTTTGGACAAGTTTGGGCCTTCTTGTGCTTTAAGATGGTGATCGTTCCAGAAGTCTTGCTTCAGCATCTGAGTTGTTTTTCAGCCATGTTTTATGGATCCCACTTCATATTTATATTGTTTACTTTTTTTAAAGTGTACTTTTGTAACAAACTTAAAACTTAGTAAGTTTCAGCTCAAGCAAAATATCTAGAAAATATCTTATAATATCTTTTAGTGTATCTTTAGAATATTTCAAAGTATTTTAGATAATCTCTTAAGAGTGGTTTCAAGATTTCATTATATTTCTTGGTTGATTTGATTTAATTAGGAGTGTAATGCTAATATAAATAGGGGTTAATGCTTTGTATTTTTTATCGCATCATAATACACCGTATCAACTTAATATCCTATTATTTATAGTCTAGATTCTCTCTTTCCTCCTTCTGTACCTAAATCTTATAATTTCAACTTGAACATTTTCATCTTAGATTATGTTTGAATTATGAACTATCTTTTGATAACTTCTCCTTTGCTCATATGTGGAATAATTCTCTTACTACTGGTTGCTACATGTTTTCATGGCTTTAGAAGCTTTTTGTCTGTGCCACATCTGTGTTACAACTCACAAGTGTATGCATACATCTGATAGCCCCCCAGTGTATACGTTTTTTTTTTTTTTTTTTGATAATAAGGAGGGCCAAGCCCAGAAACAACTAAACAACCATATCAAGCAAGTTCAAACACAAATGCTCTATAGACAAATTGGAGCTAAAATCCAACCAAGCAGAAAGAAAATTAACAGGTGGGGAGGAAAAGAACCTCAACTCCTCACCCCTAAGACTAAAGCCTTCTTTAGCAAAAAAATCAGCACAAGCATTGAGCTCTCTTGGGACGAACTCCAGCTGAAGCTGATCCACATCTTGGGCAACACTTCTGATCTTGCAGATTAAGGAGGAGAACCCACAATTTTCTATTCCCTCATCAAGGCAAAGAATAGCCTCTTTGCAATCACAACCCATCCAAACCTTGTTGAAATTCATATCACCTACCATCTTGAGACCAAAGTAGATACCCCATAATTCAGATTCCAACACAGTACACTTGCCAATGTTATAGGCAAAAGCCCCTATCCATTCTCCACTATCCGAGCAGATTACCCCTCCACAGGTACCCACACCAGAGCTCAAGCTAAAAGCACCATCAACATAAACTCTAACCTGGCTGGGGATACTCCAATTCCTATTTACTTCAGGGACTTGGTCTCTCTCTGTATCTAAGCAAAAGGGATCAGAATTGCTGCATCTCTTCATGTCAGCTAAGAATCCCAGGATTACATGAGTAGGATCATGAGGAAATACAAACAATTCCTCGTGCACAATACAATTTCTCTAATGCCAAAGAAACCAACAGGACACAAAGAAGATCTCTTTCCAAGAGTGCCACAATTTACTAGCGTAAGGTTGAAAGAGACTAAGTCTAAACCACTCTTTACCTTCAAGATTTAAGAACTCAGATGGAATGTTACCTGAGAACCATCTCTCCCAAACTTGTCTAGCCATCCTGCAGTCTCTCAGAACATGCATAACTGTTTCAAGCACATCCACGCAAGAAGGACAAGATAAATCCCCCCCATACCATTGCCCTGTCAGCATCCGAACAGGCAACTTATTCAAACAAGCAATCCAAATGAAGACTGCAATCCTGTAGGGTCCCCTCCATTTCCATATAGCTGTCCAAACTTTGTCCTTACCAGAAGTTGAAGTAGACAGATGACAGTAGGCATTTCTAACGAAAGACTTACTTGGGCTACTCCATTTCCATTGTAAGCTGTCAGCTGGACCATCCCTGCCTGGAGGGTTCATATTACGCAGCCTAAAAATAGCATTATCATCAAGCCAACTTAAGATACAACTCCAATTCCAATCCCCTGTAAAAGAATCAACCATATCACAGATTTTAGCCTGGAGATGGGATTCAGGAGGCTTAACAGCAGCCAGGTCATAGAGACTACTCTTCCAATCTCCCCACACATCCAACCAGAAAGAAATGCTTTCCCCATTGCCAACCACCCATTCAAGATGTTGAGCCAAATTATTTCTGGCTATGCAAATGCTTTTCCACATCACAGAATCAGCAGCTTTTGCCACTAACCCACGATTAGGATTGAGGTTCCTACCATATTTCCCTAGAACAACTTGAACCCAAAGGCTGTTTTGCTCATGCATGATCTTCCAAGCTAGCTTTTGCATAAAGGCCTCATTTTGTCTTCTTAGATTAATGATGCCTAATCCTCCACAATCCCTAGGCAAACACAATTGATCCCAAGACACATAATGAGCCTTTCTACTTGAATCCGAGTCCCCCCATATGAAGTTCCTCTGTAATCTCTCAATCTCTTGGCATACATGAACCGGCAACATGTTGTTTTGCATGTGATAAGATGGAATAGCCGAGATAACACTTTTAGCTAAAGTGATCCTACCAGCCATGGAAAGGCACTTTGATTTCCAACCCTGAAGCCTACCTTGAACCCTAGAGATAACATCAGCATAATGATCTCTCTTAATACGTCCATGCCTCATTAAAGAACCCAAGTAGCATCCCATATTGTTAACTTTTTTAAAACCACTAGCCCCAGTAATGGAATTAACAGTTTCCAAAGACACATTCTTGGAAAAAAATATGCAGGACTTCTCCACACTCACACATTGTCCAGACATCAAGGAAAAGTTCTTCAAGCACTGTTGAATAGAGTCCAACTGAGAGAGAGAAGCCTCAGCAAACAACACAACATCATCAGCAAACATCAGGTGTGAAATATAAGGCCCAGATTTCCCAGCCCTTATTGGTTTCCACCTCTTAGCCTCCACCTCATCCAGAATTAGGTGAGTTAACTTTTCCATACACAAAACAAAAAGATAAGGGGACAATGGGTCCCCTTGTCTAATTCCATGTTGGGTATGAAATCCAGGAGTTCTAGCTCCATTCCACAACACCTCCATGTAGGGACTAGAAACACAACCCATTATTACATCAACCAAAACCCCTGGAATCCTTACTTCCTCCAGAACAGACCTAATGAAGCTCCAGTTCAGCTTATCATAAGCCTTTTCTAGATCAATTTTGATAGAGAAAAAGCTTTTCCTCCCTTTCATTCTATGCATAGCATGAACCAGCTCTTGAACTATGATGATATTGTCTTGTATCTGCCTTTTAGGCACAAAACTGACCTGATTAGGAGAAATTAGACTTCCCAAAAAAGGTTTAATCCTATTAACAAGGATTTTGCTGAGGCCTTTGTAAACTGAATTACAAAGGGATATGGGTCTGAATTGCTTCATAAGACAAGGTCTATCAATTTTGGGAATAAGGGCTAGCAAGGTGTGATTAATTTCTCTGATTTGGCTCGGCTGTGAGAAATAATTCTGCATGCTTCTAAAAATTTGACCCTTAAGGAGCTCCCAATTCTTCTGATAAAAGAGGGCAGGAAAGCCATCAGGTCCAGGGGCTTTCAAGGGAGCCATCTGAAAGAAGGCAGCTTTCACCTCCTCCAAGACAACATTCTGAGATAATAAAACAACCTGGTCCTCCCCTAATGCTGGCAAAGAGCTGTGAGTTTGCATCCAAACCGGGTTTACCACTTCTTCCTTGAAGAGGTCAAGGTAAAAACTTCTAGCCAAATTAATGAGATTCTCCTCTCCATTTATCCAATGACCAGCAACATCCTGAAGCTTTTCTTTTCCTCCGTATTAAAGTACTAGCATGATAAAATCTAGTATTCCTATCCCCATCCCTAATCCAATCTCCCCTAGATTTTTGGAACCAAAGCTGTTCTTCCTGATCAAGAATGCCTGACAGTTCTTGTTTCAGCTGTGTATACGGTTTTTTCCTTAAATTTATAAATGAATAATATGTCCAGTTCCTTTTGTGTGTGGGTGTTAGGGGAAGCGAGCACAAAATTTGATGCTTTTGTTTTGTTGACCAGGAGAGAGACATTTAATCATTTAGCAAGTTGGCTGGAAGATGCCAGGCAGCATGCCAATAGTAACATGACAATCATGCTCATAGGGAACAAGTGTGATTTGTCTCATCGAAGGGCAGTGAGCAAAGAGGAAGGAGAGCAATTTGCCAAAGAAAATGGGCTTTTATTTTTGGAGACTTCTGCAAGGACAGCTCAAAATGTGGAAGATGTAATATCGATCAATAACAAGCATGATTCTAATCCCATAGTAGATAGGATATTGTAATCTTTAATTATCATCAAAAGTAACTAAAATACGTATTCTGCAGGCTTTCATTAAGACTGCTGCAAAGATTCTTCAGAATATTCGGGAAGGTGTTTTCGATGTATCCAATGAGGTAATTATCTACTGCTAATTTCATTTAAAAGGTTGTGGAAATTTAGTTGGGACAATGTCTTTCACTCTGGATATATCCATTGGTTCATCGATTACCAAATTAATCCGGTTTGAGCAGTGTCGGATCCATTATAGGGGTATCCTCTCCCAAGATCATTTTTTCTGTTCCCGACCTTTAGTTAAGGGGAACAATTAAACCAATGGTTGTTGGTAATGTCTTTGACTTTATTATTATTATATTGGTATCGACTAACCGAATTATCAAAATCAGAATGCATGTTGTGAACATCAAAATCTTTCAGTTACGTCTTGAGAATGGATGTTTCCTTGTTTTATTGCCATATTGAATAACTCCCCCATAAAAAAATTGGCTTTTTCATTTGTCACAGTAACAATTATTGTCCAAGGTTTATGCTGTGTAATTGATAGTTTCCACCCAAAATGAGTTTCCCGAAAATCTAGCAGGGATGCTTTTTATTTTCAAATCTTCCTGCAGCCTTATGTGTCCTTGGGCTAAAATTAGCAGTGAATCTATTTTTGTAGTCGTTTGGCATAAAGATTGGATATGGACGCCCCCAAGGTTCATCAGGGGCAAGAGATGGAAGTGTTACAACGAGAGGAGGGTGTTGCAGCTGATAAGGAGGAAAACTACTTTGTATCTGATCTTTTTTGTGCTTCTATTTCCAAGCTGCTTATAGATCTTCCACTGGGACTGTTAGATAACCCTGTAATTTCATGTATAGATCTATCCTCAGGAGTGTTCTTCGACAGATTTGACTCCATAATTGCTAAGCTATAGTCTTCGGTTAATGTTAAAAATGTTTGTTGTGGTGTTAAATATCATAAGGAAATTTCTCAATGCCTGTTTGTTATGAGCTTTTATCACAGCCAGTGATTTTTATGAGAACATTTACTTGCTAACGAGCAGAACTCATGACCAAATTGCATCGTCATGGAAATGCAATTTTTACGTTTTAGTACTCATTATGGCTGCTTGTTTACTATGCTTAAAATGTTCAGTTGCTACTTTGTATGCTGACGTGTGTACAAAATGAAGATGCCTACAACACTAATGGGATGTTTGGTACATAGGATAAGACATGATAGTATAAGATCTGATTAAATTTTAATACTATCCAGCGTTTGGTATGATATTGTATAACATAATATCCTCTAATATTTTAAAATTAATATATTAAAAAAATTATTTTAATATATTAATATTGAAATAATATATTAGTTCTTGAGAATTGTACTTGTAAGCAATATTAATACATCAATTTTTTATCAGGTCTAATTTAACCCTCTTAGAGGGTGTTTGGTAGGTGGTTTTTGAGGGGATAGATGGGTAAGTCAAAGTGGGGAAATAAGACATACTCGTTTATTACAAGTTTTTGAGAAATAAAGCAGGGCACAACGTTTCCCCATCAAAACCCGATTTCAATGTAAAAAGGAACACTCTGCACTGTTGGAGAAGACGTTCTTGGAGGTGGTATGATGAAAAAGCTAGGGAAGTCATAATTTTGGTACCAACTTAGTTACGCAAATGCCCCTCTGATTTGTGGTTGCGAATAAGTAGAAACTTAAATAGTTGCCGAATGAATTTCTACATTGGTCCGGAAGTGATTCCAAAAGTGACGTCGGTTGTCATGTCATAATAATTGGAAAATATTAGCCTCATCTCATAGAAGACAATAGTAGAGCCCCTCTTTATTCCAATAATGCTATAATAATGTGTGGTTAAGTAACAATAATAGTAAGTTAAAATTAAATTAATGAATTCAACCCATTGTAATTTTATTTAAATTTTTTTATTGGAATAAGTTATATTTACAAATTTTTTGTTTACAAATTCTTACCATCTACATTATCTTCTTTCGAGAGAACACTAGTTATACTATCTTCTCCCCGAGAAAGATAATGTAATTTGTAAAAATTTGTATAAAAAATTTGTAAACAAATCATTCTCCTTTCTTGTTATAGCATTCTTTTTATATCCTAAAGAAGTGAGAGAAAATATCACATCAACATGATAAAAAAATTTAAGTTGTACTTGTTTGATTGAATAGGATAAAAGAAGTGAAGGTAGGTAAGCATCTGTTTTCGTACAACCATTCAATCATGTATTGTCATGTCATTATATCATTAAAAGACTATTTTTTTAATGAGGTTAGTACTTTTTATGCTGTAAGAAATAATATTATCTCCTTTACAAATATAAAAATGTGTAGTGTATATTTTTTTATTTTTTCTTTTCTTTTCATATGATCCCACATGATCTAATGTATTTATATATATATATATATATATATATATATATATATAGAGATAACTTTATCTCTTATAGTATAAAAATATTAATCTCATATATAATTATTGTGAAAATGAATTTTTTTTAAAACATAACAGTATATCTCTATTTAAAAATAAGGACAAATTATATTTACAAATATTTTTTCACAAATTCTTTCAAAATTATCGTTTAGGTAAAACTACGAACTCACCGATGTTGTGTGTAATGGGAATTTAAGAAATCTTAATTAATTATAGCTTTTGTACCTTTAATTTTTGTGTGTGCACAATTTGCATATACTATAAATGTAAAAAAAAAAATTAAAATAAACTTATTTGTTTTTCTTTTTTTCGAAATATGTTAATTGTTTTTATTTACCAAATTTTACGTTTACATTTATTATGAGTAAGATATATATTCAGAAAATATATAAATATATTGAAAAATTGAAACACAGATAATAAAATTTGTATTTAAAAAGAAACGTGTGATATTCAAATAAACAGAAAAGTATATCAAATAAGTTGTTTTCAAAAAAGGAAAACTCAAAATTATTATGGGGTATATTTTTCTCCCTTTACAAAAAGAAAAACATATTTCCTGCAGAAATATATATAAAAAATACGCTACTTTTGTTTTTTGTTTTTTGTTTTTTAAGTGGCCCCATAAGCATTTTTTTTTTATTTTTTATTTTTATAAATGGCCCCATAAGCTTTTGTGTAAGCAGAAAGGGAAAACTTTCTTCGGAGAAATTAATAGCCTAATTATTGTATAGGGTTAGTCGGTTAGATGAAGTGATTAAGTTTGTAATGCCTATTTTTCCCGAGAACTAAAAAATTATCATTGAGCATAAAATCTATCCCATCACTTTAGCAGATAGTTAGGTTCATCCGGAACTAGAAAGCAATTTAGCAATCTTTGCAGAAAATCACGAGGTACATATTTTTATGGTATAGGTTATAGTATCATCATTTTTTTTTTTTATCAACTTTTATTATCATTGAATTAAAATAATATTAAATGAGAGTCATCTAATTTTAAATAATAATAAAATAGTAATAAACATAAGAGTAAATATCATTTCGGCTCCCTAACAAAAAATACGGTCCCACTTTATTTCCTTACAAAAAGAAAATTAGTCAGTTGGTCCCTAACAAATTCAAAGGGTCCATTTTAGTCCTTTTGAGGAACTAATATGGATCTTTTTTGAAATTATGAGGGACCACGATTTCAACTAAATGGGTTCACTTTGAATTTGTTAAGGACCAACTGAGTAATTTTTTTTTGTAAAAGACTAAAGTGGAAATCATATTTTTTGTTAGGGACCAAAAATAATATTTACTCCGAATATAATATTTCCTGTCCTCTTTTTTAGGCACTTATTATGTCAACGCTGGCAACTTTATTTCTTTGTCGGATTTTGCTTTCATGAGAAGGAATTGAGTCGGTGCGAGAGTCGGTCGGTGTGACAAGTAACGATCTCCGGTTATTTGACACGTGGACATCCTTATACCAGTACATGACAAACTTATTATCAAGGCACAAGTACGTGAATAATAGTTGCAGGATAATAAATAATTGAACTTTCACTTAAATAGATCAAGGATATAATATTGTAATAACCATTTTGTTATAGATATATATTATATCCTAAATACCTATCTAGGAATTCACTAAAGGATAAATACTTAACTATCCTAACAATATCAAATAACAAAGCTACTCAAGATAGAGTCTTTATCTTAACAGAAAGGAAGTTAAATCCTACTGCAACTGAGAGATTTATACACACCCTAGAAGTAACCCTTATAAATAAGAGGCTAAAGACCTCAGATACACACTTTTTGACCTAATGACTATTACTGCCAACACTGTGAACACACTCACATCTTGGCGAAAAGCCTATTGCTTGTGCGCAGTAATTGGGATACTGCCTATAAGCCAACCAAGGTACCTATCTCTAGAGTATTTCTGAGCGCATACCATACGGTATAGCAATATGGTCTTCTAGGACCTAACATTGGCACCGTCTGTGGGAAACGATAAATTTCGATTCCCATCCCACCATTACGAACACTCGTTCGATGTCCAGCAACGCTCAACCCCAACCGCCGCCGCACCAGTCTGCCTTAGGATATCTCCAGTCAATTTCAGATCTGGTTTTGGTGGAGGTGTAGGTCGGAGAGGTCGAAACAGAGCAACCATCTTTCGTGACCCAGGGCAACCCAGCGGCGGAATCTGCACGTCCGCCTCTGTAGAATGATCAGCCCAAAGGTGAGGATCACGTGGTCAATACTGCCATGAACGCAATCCTTCAAAGGATGCAAGAGATGGAGAACAGGTTCCTGGCTCAACAAAGGCTAAATGCCCAGAGGATGGAGGCATTGGAAGCCGAGCTGCGAAACCAAAATACTGAAGGCTGAGCTGGAGGAGCAGGCCAGGCTGAAACTGAAGGGCCGGAACGCCGAAATTCGGCGGCTGAAAATATCCGAGATCCTCGCCACGAAAACCAGCATGAAGGCGAAGGACAGGGAAAAACCCAAGGAGAGAATTATCTCCATGATGAAGAGGCTAATGATAGCCTGTTTACTGAGAGGCTCATGAACTTGGCAAGTCCCCCGAGATTCAAAAGTGCCAAGATACCCCCTATGACGGAAGTCAGGATCTAGACGCCCATTTGGAGGCGTTCAAGACCGAGATGCTGTTCAACGGAATAACTGGACCACTTAAGGCCAGAATTTTTGCTACAACCTTGACAGGTCAGGCAATGGCGTGGATAACTAGGCTCCCTAGGAACTCAATTGATTCATTTGAGGACCTGGCTCGGACCTTCCGCCTTAACTTTGCCACTAGTAAAGCTCATCCCATGCCGGCCTATGCTCTAGGAAGAATCCGACAAACGAAGAATGAATCACTGCGAAAGTACCTCGATCGATTTAAGGAAGCAACCCACAAAGTACGAAACCTAACTGAGCCAGTCCACCTGGATTTGATCATCTCGGGGTTGGATGGCGAGTCTGCACTCGCTAAATCCATTTATAAGAACCCGATTAAAAACCTGGAGGAATTTCGACGAAGGTCGGATAAATATATCGACGTCGAAGATATGCAGAAGGCTTATGGCGAATCTAGGGATCAGAGCCCGAATCGCTAGAGTCCAAGCAAGAAGAATAAGGACAGAGATCAGCGAGGATCAAAGAAGGGATCTGACTCTCATAAAAAGAGGTCAGATGAACGCCCTCCGAGAACCAAATATGACAATTATGCACCATTGAACATGTCCAGATCCCGGATATGGAAAGGAGTGGCTTAAACCGAGATGCGTAATGTCGAAAGGCCTCGACCAATCAAAAGCAAGGGTTGTTAGGACATAAACAAATATTGTGCTTTTCATGACCAAAACGGCCACACAACGGATGATTGTTGGGATCTCCGAGATGCCATTGAGAAGCATATCAGAGAAGAAAAACTGAAGCAAAACCTCATCCAAAC